ATGGCGGGTGGATAGTAAATTTAGGCAAAGGTAGAATAGAAGAACTCAAGGCAAGTTTTAAGGGCAAAGGTAAGAAATAAAAATATAAATAATAATAATGATAATATTAACGAAAAATATACTGAAAAGAAAGAAGCAGAAATTCAATGACACATATGATGACGACAGTTTTTCAATACATAACCTAATGAAACCAAACACTTCAACAACAATACAACCACCGAAATTGATGAAAAAGGGCACGCCGAGAGAATTTATTGACATTGCAACCAACACAGATACAATCGCCACAGAAACCAGAGAGACTCAAGAAAAGTTATACAATGATGCAAATCAACAATTAAATATGACATTTGAAGCGTTTAAGGTAAAGGAAAACCAAGACAATATGTTTAAAATAATGCTTAAAAACTTTTGGCGCAACACATACAAAAGAAATGAGCCAACAAGAACACAAGCAACACAAACACTGAAAAACCAACGCGACGCAATGGTGTCAGCCTTTACTAAAATGCTCGACAACAACAAACCGCCAGAACCACCGCCAAAGAAACCACCAGATGAGGATGACAGCGATGAAGAAGAAAAGAAGTTCAAACTGACAAAAATGATAGAAATAATGCTACACAACGGCGCTACAATAGCAGATATCATATTAAACTTATCACACAGCACAATTGCAACAACAATAAATATTGCAGATTTAGTTAATCAGATAACAGCAGGCATGCACAAAGTAGCAGTAGCAATTCATCAAATGAAGCTATTAGTGTTCATAGTTCTCCACCTATTACTGTTCATAGTTCTTCATCTGAAAGTCCAACAGAAATACCAGCACCAACTGAAGACGAAGAAGAAGAAGAAAACCAACATTTCAATTTTGAAAAATTAAAATCTAAATAATATTATATATAATGGGTTCAAGTAAATCAAAACCAGTAGAAATTGATGACGAAGAGGCTATTAAAGTAATAAAAGATATAGATGTAAATACGATAAGTGAAATGTCAAGAATTGATATTCTACAAATAAATTCATTGAAAGCAATAATCAATAAATTAGAAAAAGTTAATGAATGTAAAAAAGATAAAATATATTATAAATTACCTGCCTTAAATTTATGTAGCTATTCTTTATTCTAAATTGATAATATTAACATACATTAATATTATTAATTACTATCATAATCTGTCATTTTATCCTCTGGTATTGTTGTTGAAGTAGTACTACTTATATCATCTATTAAATCTTCTTCATCAACAAAATTATTTTGAAATCTTAATAATTCCTCGTCTGTTGCCCTTCTTTTCAATACTTTATAAAGTTTATGTATCCAAGAATTAGTATGAAAATTATAATTACCTCTACGATAAAATCCACCACATCTACATAGTTTCATTGACATATTATTATATTATATTAAATTAGAATATCTTTATTCATCATTCGTAATTTGAAACGCCTGTTCAAATCTGATATGAAACATTTTGTTAATGTCTTTAGCATTCATATTCACGTAGAAGAAACTATAAGGTGCGTCATTAACGGCTTGATGATACATATCTAATAATTGCTGTTTGTCAACAATGGCGCTATTTTCTTCAATAAAACTCATTAATTCACTGGCATTTTTCAACCTAAAAATATATAATGAACTGGCATTTAAACGAATGATAGGCGCCAAAACATTGTATTTTTGTGTTGAACAAATTACACTTACTGCATCGTGCCTGCCTCTTGTAAATAATCCATGTAATAATTTACTATATCTAACAAATTTAGGGTCGTCTGCGTGGTCATCTATAACGATTAATATTGAATGCAGTTTCTTTATCTTTTTAGATTTCATATAATTAATTATTTTCTTCTGTCTTTCAATTACATTTTCTAAATCACTTGGATTATAATTATCAAAATAAATTTGTTCTTTTTCATCATCTACGTGCAATTCGTCCCTGATATATTTTTTAACTTCTGTAAATGTAGGGTCGTTATGGACACTGGGTGAAAATATAAATATTCTTGCGAATGAATTTCTATAAACATTCAATATTAAATTTTGAATAAGGACAGTCTTCCCGCCCGTTGAACTCGCGACTATAATACTTCTAAATGGTAATTTAGGCACGTGCTCATATTTAGATTGTTTGAATTCATATTCAGTTATGTTTATTGGTTTTATTATTGGAACATCTGTCATAGTTGATATTAAAGATATATAGAAAATTATATTTAAAAATTAACTTGTAATTAATATTAAATGGAACATCATTTTTATGATATGCTGGTGGCGAATATCATAAAAATGGAACAGGTTTTCCATTGCTACAATCAATAAGCATTGAAGCTAATTAGTTTGTATCTCTCTCGCGTGTGCAATGAAAACCCCAAGTGCTGTGCCCCACCAAGATTCTATTATGCATGAAAATAATAAGATTAAATAATTTAAATAATTATTTTATCTTATTATTATATGACTGTTATCCATTGCAATTGTTGTAAAACTTATGATGACAAATATTTATTTAAACATCTAAATTCAAAATATCATCAGAAATTTGTAGAATATAGATGGAATAAAGACGATACAATGAAAAAACTTTACAAGAAAAGAAAGACAGAAATGAAAAAAAAATTATCTTATTATTTAATATGAAAAGGAGTTATACAGATTATATTAATATAATAGATGAAATGGAGAATATAGAACAAGTAATAATTACTGACAATAAAATAAAAAAATGTTGTTATTATTCATTAGAAATAATTAAGTTAGGAATTCAATATCTCAAAAATAAAAATGTAAATATTAATATAAATGGGAAAAAAGAAAAAGAGTAAAGGCAAAGAAAGACCAACACCAGATATTGAAGCACGGAAAGAAACAGCAGAAAGTGTTAAATCAATGGGTGAAAGTAAGACTATAAAATGTGATAAATGTAATCACATAATGAATTTTAAAAATGAATTGACAGTAGATAAGAAAGGTGGAGTTAAAGTTAGTTGTGTCCCATGTATGTTTTCTTATAAAAAAACAGATAAAGATTTTAATATTCAGAAAAGAACAGATGGCGATATGGTTATTGAAACTAACGAACATTTGATTAATGTTAGTTTTAACAGGGACATAAGTTAGTATTTAAAGAGTAGATTTAACATAAATGCACTTTATAAATATATAATTAAATAAATAATTATCTAAATAAATATATAGTAATGTCTGAAAATGAGAATTATACTATTAATGATTTAATGAAGAAGATAACATTAATTGGTAACAATATCAAAACCTTAAATGATATGATTAAATCCATTGATGACAAAATGAAACCAGTTGAACGCGAACAACAAAGCAACGAAGAGAAGGAGAAGATGAATAAGATTTTTGAAAAGAAAGGGATAGGCAGACCTAGCGGTGATTATGATACCAAGCGTAAAAAATACTGCGATATGTTAAATAAGGGACAAATCAAAAGTCCAAAAGAACAAACATTAGAATATTATAAACTAATTAAGGGCGATGATGATAAATATGTAATGGTTGGAAATTAAAATCTAGATATTTCTAATAATATGAATTTATTAGAATTATTTAGCAACAAGACCTATATAAAATACCTAGTAGTTTGATATTGGAAACTGTGATGAGTTTGACAGAAATCGGGGATTTTGATAGAATTTTTTGATAGAATCGGGGAATGATTTTGATAGAATCGGGGAATGATTTTGATAGAATCGGGGAATGATTTTGATAGAATCGGGGAATGATTTTGATTATAACCATGCTATGATTATAACATGTAAAATATTATATGTTATAAGTATATTCCAATATTTAATTTTATTTCTTGTAAAAAAGTATTTAAAGAAATAAACACTATATATATATATATATATAATAGAAATGGAGTTTCAAAAACTACCAGTTGAAGTTATTAATAATATTATGTCCTATAAATATGGCAAGCCAGAATATATGAAAATAAAGCATAATCATAATGAAACATTGAAGAGAATACAAAGAAGATATAAAATTGACAAAACTGACATAGAAAGGGAAACAAAGCACTGTAATAATTTAGATGGTGATAAAGTAAAGAGACAAATATGTCAATATTATGTTTCTAGGAAGGTTCCATTAAGCATTGAAAGTATTGAAGATATAGTTATGAAAGAAGGGGATGAAATAGATAGCTTACTAGATAAGTATGTAGGATATGAAAGTTATAAAGCAATAATAATAGTTGATATAATTTTACGTGTAAGGTTTCATCATTTTAATTATTTTGAGGATGATGAATATAGCAGTTATGGTTTTGATTTTCATAGTGGTAGACACTTAATGGGTTCTATAGACCAAGATAATATAACTGATGTAATGGAATACGCAGTTGCAACAATATGTAGAAATATTGATAATGAAAGGAATACAATGAATATTGTAGGAGTAAAACACATAAGGTTTATACTAATTATTGATGAACCTGAATAATATAACCATACTATGATTATAACATTTATACCCTTATATGTTATAATTATAATGTAAGTATAGCGTTTTATATATTGAAGATAAAATCCTACAAGGTGGGCCATGCGCAACTCCGGAATATCAAAATTTCGAAAAATGATTAATTATTAGTCTTCTCATTGAATTATTGAAAATGTTGTTTCTTATTGAATAATTCTTCTTAAAATGATATATATATTTATCTCTTTTGAAAAAAATATATTTTCTAAAATATTTTGGAAAATGTGTGTTTTTGAAAATAAACATGTTTAGGTGTATTGAATTTTTCAAAAAATAATTCAATTTTTGTTTTGGTATGCAGTACTAAAAAAATATTTATCAAAATGTGTTTAGACTGTTTCAAAAAATGTTTTAAAATGGCTGTTTTGGTGCGCTTATTCAAAAAATGCAAAAAATCCTAGGGTGGACCCTAGACTTTTGAGTCCGAAAAAAGTTGCGCATGGCCTCACCTAACTCTATTACCACGTGCCTGATGATGGTGGTGAGTCTGTCCAGGATCTCGCTCAGCACCTGACATTTTGCTGCTCTGCCTGGGTGTGGTTCCATTTTTTGGGGCTGGCACCCTCAAAGTGGGGCTGGCTTAAAGGGAAAGAAAGGAACACCCACCCCATTTTGGGGGTCCCCTATTTTGAAGCAAATCCATCTGTCGAACAAGGGCAAACCAAAAAAGGCTGGCCATTTTGGATAAAGGGATCGACGGTCCCCCATTCGGGTTGCTGCTTGCCAGGAAAAATAAGTCCGTGAAAAAGGCAAGAAAAGATCCAACACCAATTTCACCTCCCAAGTGGCTTGGCAACCCTACCTTGAAAAAGCACCCCCCCTCCAGACCTTCGGTGTCCTGAGAAGGGTTCTGATTGAAGGGTTCTGATTGAAGGGTTCTGATTGAAGGGTTCTGCGAACCTCTAGGTTGGGCTAATTGAAGTGACATGCAATCCCATCCTTGAAGCCCTGGTCATCTGCAGTCTCGGGTCCGCGGTGCAGGCAAACTTATCTTTTGCGGCCTGCTACACGTCGTCTGAGCTCGGCACAGCCTGTCGTGCCATTCAAAAGCTTGCTTCCCTGTGGGGGGTCAAGCCCGAAGTGAAGCAAAGCACTCTGCAAAGCGCAGCAAAGAGCTCTGCAAAGCGCCCTGCAGATGGAAAAACATTTCAGACTTGCAGGGGCGCGTCCTTCAGATCCCACAGCTGAAGGAACGATGGAACGCAACACAGGGCACCCAAAACGGGTGTCGTGGAAGTTCTTCTTTCAAGGGTCCGACGGAGACCCCAGGCGTAGTTTCCAGAATGCCCAGGTTCTCCATTTCCCTCAAGGGAGGGGGGCTGCAGGCACGTCCGGAACTTGGATCGCTCGAAACGTGGCGTCGATCAGCGCCCACTAAGCCCATTCAGGGCTGAATTCAAAGGGCAGGCTAAGCGCTCTGACAAGAGACTCTCTTGTGAAAGCGATCCCTTTCTGGAAGTAGAGCCTCATGATATTCATGCTACTTGGGGACACGCCTGCCTTTGCGGGGATGTACTTCACGCCAAGATGCTGGCAAGAACATGCAGGCACCAAGGATCCACGCTCAAGGGAAGCACGAAGCTGACAAAGCTCCATCCAAAACTCTAGAGACACTACCCGGAGGGGAACGCCTCGTCACTGTTGGGATGGAACCCAAACAACAATCTGGTCAATTGAGGGCCGTCATGTTCGATTAAAGGGTTAGAGGAGCCGAAACTGCTTGGCCTGCCCTTTGCCCGCTGGCGGAGAAGTGGCGATATGCAAGCCGCCTGAAATGCTTCTCCTTGACTCGGGGCGCACAGAGGTGCGCGCTACACTTGCGAACATTCGGCGAACGTTAAAGGCTCGCCCGCCAAAAGCTCAAAAGAAACTGCGGAGATGGAATCGCGTCGCATCAGCCTAAGGTGGGTGGGTGTGGCACCTCTCTGCCAAACATTGCCAAACAAGTACTGCCACTGGCTTCACAATAGGCTTTGGTCATGATGATTGCAGTCAGCAGTCAAACAGCCTAGAAATCTACTCCATACTCCGCAAACCTGTTCCATTTCCCTAGGAGTCAGAGGCCGATCTCTACGCAACCTCACTGCTAGGACAGCAGTGAGCCGCAGAAGGTGTAGGCATTGCCGCCTCAGAGCGAAGCGGTCGACTGTCGCCCAATTCAGCCGGAGTTATAATGCCGCTGCTCCTGAACAAACGTGCGCTCAGGCTTCTCTGCTCAAATGATAGGGCCTCTTGATCTCGACCAATGTGTGTGTGTGTGTTTGTGGGTGTGGGCTTCGCTTTTTGCTTGTTGCGAGGGATTGATTCCCAGCTCGGCAGACTCCTGGGGCACGGCGCCCTGCGCTTTAAAACCTGATTGCAGGATTGTCCGCAAAGCGTGCCAGGAGGCTGCGGCCAAAACTTTTGCAAACGCATCGGGAAGAGCGCAGTAAGTAGAGAGGTCTGCTGGAGACCGATCCATCCCTTGCAACGAGTAGCGTCACAGTGGGCGCTTTTGGGAAGGCCCTCCAGCCCCGCATTCCAGCCAACCCTCCAGCCCCGCAACCCCTTAATCTCGCAACCCCTCCATCTCTCAGGCCCCCAACCCCCTCAACCCCCTCAACCCCCTCAACCCCTTCCACCCCCTCAACCCCTTATCCATTTCCTGAACCTCCCAACCCGTCAACCTTCCCAGCCCCCGCCCCCTCCTCCCGAACACCCTCAAGCCCTGAACTCCTCAACCCCTTATACAGCCTCGCAAACCCCCATCCCAACCCCAACCCTCCCTGAGATCCCGGCGCCGAACCGTGAGATATGTCAGCTCTTTCGCCGCTGGTCCCACGCTGTACACCTCCAGCTCTTTGGCTTGGGACTCTGGTGCAAACCAACTGCATCTTACGACAACCTCCTCCGGTTCGGGGTGGGGGGGTCGAGAATCGTTGCGCCTAAGTGCCACTTTGGGAACAAACTTTATTTGTCGGGTTTCATGATTGCTGCAAATTGATTGCACATGCTTCCCTACTTCCAGGGCAACCAGGGCGCACCGAAGCAGCCCTTGTTGTGACTTAGCTGCCGGGGGGAGGTTTCCTCAGTTGGCTGCGTGGGCCGTACATAGCCGTCTGATGCCGTCTGTCTGCTTGCTCTACACGCAACCCGGGATCTGAAAATGGAAACAGAATCAAAGATATACCGATATGGGCCGATATACCCTTGGAGAGTCAAGTTGTTTCGCGCCCGGCAGCCACTCCTGAAGGGCAGTCAGAGAAAACAACGAGGCCCCCTAGCCTGCGACTTGCCAGTCCCAACCTGAAACCGGCGTTTTAGATGTTTGCAGCTTTGCAAAAACAACTAGTTGATGACTCATACAGGCTTTGCAGAGAAGCAGTGGATTGAGAAATCCAGCATGTTATCTTGCATATTGGGTCTTGGATCGCATTGCTTCGACCAGCATACGTGATGCTAACTATCGAACTAATTATATCGCACGGATTGCAGGGCAGGTGAGAAGATCTTCAAAGTTTGCATTAAGTTCGGAAATGCCACCCCAAAACATATCAACAAACGCAATTGGAACCTCTGCTAATATGGTTGAGCCTGATGCACGAGCATCCACCAGCATTATCCATCCGGAAATCGCATGAAGCCAACTAACTGGTTGAAACAACCACTTGCAATAATGGGCATGGACAAAACTTGTCCCTTCCTTCCTGATCACTCATCCGCCCGCACCTACCCACTCACAATCCCACCCGCCCAACCGCAACCAAAAGCCGGCGCCCGCCTTCAAAGTAAACTCTTGCGAATCCGCGTAGGGCTTGAATCGTCTCTCCTCGCCCTTTCGGCGAGAATCGACAGCGTTCGAAACATAGGATTGGCCACCGGCCTTCCCTCCCAGTGTATATCGCCCACACCCCCCCCCCAAAAAAAAAAACAAGAAAAGAAAAAGAAGGCAACAGACACGATAGGGAGCAATCCCAAACGCATGTCTTGCGGCCAGCAGATTTGGTGGGAAGCACAACGATGCATGCTTGCCTCCTGCCTGGCAGCCGGCCCTGCAACCCGCACGTTCCCCGAAGAAATGCAGGCACGTGCTGTTTTTGTAAACTTTGGGCAGTCGTAGCCGAGGCCCTGAAGTTCGGCCCGAGCAAAACTGCAGGACGATGGCTTCAACGGGAAACACAAAGGAAACAACTGGCTCAACATCACCATGGCCTTGCCCCAGAACTTTGATTCAACAGCTGCCCACCTTGGCTGCAAGTCCATTCAACCACTCCTAGCATTGCAGCCCCGTCCACTTGCACATTGCACCTGTGAGTACCGCCCCTGGGCATCGGCCTAAGGGGCTCCCGTGCCGCCAAATGCGTGCCCTCAAAAGACATCACGCTCCCTAGGTGAAAAGGATGCTGCTCTGTTTGTTTTATGTGATACTTCCCGAATCGCCCCTTTATGAAGCTCATGCCCCTCCGCCCTGTTTTTTACCTATTGTACCTCCCCTTGAACTTGAACCAAAGGCAATTACAGAAAACCCTCCATCTTCTTTGGCGGGATCGGTCACATGCTCCCCCTCCCCCCCTCGCCCCCCCCCCCCCCACTTCTCCACTTTTAGCCTGCAGGATTACATCGCCGCAGGCCAGGAGCTTGCCCACCACCGGCACCATGTAGCAGTAGTCGTCGGACCGGTATAGCAACGCCCGCACGTCCTGCGCAGGCCGCTTGCCGGCGCGCCGGTTTTTGAACCTTGACCTCGAACCTAGGATGCGCAAGGAATGAATAGCGGACGGCTTAGCAGCCGGGCCATCTTAGAAGCGAAGGCAGTGGACACGTGCAAAGCCGCTCCCCTCTTGCAAGGCACCCCGCTCCCCCAAGCACACTCCATGTACGAACGCCGGCCGTCCTCACTGCTCCGATTCCGCACCACAATCCTCGGCACCAAATGAGAAGTTGTCAGAGCAAGCCGAAGAATGTATTCAGCTTTCTGCCCAGGTGATGGCAAGTCAATTGAATGAATAGCAAGATAGCCAGCACGCTCCCATCAGCCAAGTGCAGGGTATCTCAAACCGAAGCCCTTTCCTCCCTCGTCACAAACTTGCGTTTGATCGCGGCGCTCGCATTTGTGTTGTTTCTCCCCATGAGCAAAGACCAGCAATGGCTGGGCCCGAAACTTGGGGCACCCCTTCTAGCCGACTCGTAGACACGAGCGCGGGAGAGCAAACAGGCAGGCTCGGGACTTGCCGAAAAACACAAACACAAAGCTACGGCCCCGCGCAATATGACTGCGAGTTTTACTAGGTTTTGTCCGGGACCATCAGAAACAATGCCTTCAAAAATGCTGGTTTTCCATCAATTCCAAGTCCGTTTCCTGTCGCTTACAGTGTGGTTCAAACAAGCTTTCTCGCGCGCAGAACTCGCTCTTCTTTTTTATAGCCTTGCGCGTTCACTCTGCCTGTCCGCCCGCCCTTCATGCTCAACAGTCACAGCGCAAGTGTGTCCAAATCCACTAACAGCATTATGGCGCCCTAGAATCTCTCGAG